TTGTGTCAGGGATGACTCGTTTCTGCCGACAGTCGGCCCACTTCAACCAGTTGAAGAGTGAGATCGTCAGGGCGCCCATTGCACCTGAGAACAAAAGAGTCAATAACCAAAGTCGTCGAGTAGGATAAGCGGTGCCGCACAGAGAAAGCTGGATCGTGCCCGCCTCATCACGGTAACCGAGAAATGTCAGAGCCACCATGCCTTCCAGCGCCTTATCCCTGCAAAGCGACTCTAATGAGGACTCGATGTTAGACGCCAGAAGACCAACATTACTAGGAATATGAATGAGTGCATCTTAACTTTATAGTGAGTGTATTGGCGCACTGGTTGGTTTTGGGTATACGCCCCTGACTCTTCTGCACGTACTGAGGACGAACGTCGTTCTTCAAGCCCAACCACAACTGGTTCAACTTCGCATCACCTGATCCGGTACCACGGTCGACAGTCTCGTCGGAGGGCTTGTACTCAATATTGATTTTGTGGAGCTGTTTGTCGGAAGACCGAGGCGCAAGTTTGTTATTGAGGGGGCCACCTGAACAAGTACGGCCGGAGCCCACCGCTCGCAACTTGTGATAATAGTTGCGAAACTTTGAGTCGACCGCCTGAAAGACACCCATTCATTCGCAGTCAAGCGGCAAAGCGACGGAACACACCTTCTTGTAAGCCTTCTCTGCTTGAAGAACCAGCCACGTTTGAAAGCACGGATCCTCGGCGAAAAGCCGCAGCTTGCGCTCTCGCACCCAGCCACTGACGGCAGCAAACCCGCGAGTGAAAGTGGGATCTGAGTCACGGACGACGGCCGCAAACTCTTGAGCAAGGATGGTCGCCACGGCGCTGACTTGTAGTTTGTTCAAAGTGCGATTTTTGCCGGCCATGGTGATGGAGAAGGCGAAGGCGAAGAACATCGAAACGACAACGAGTAGATCACCAGCTCCTGATCTGCACGAACTTCGGACACGTGGTCGCGCCCATGTAAAGACTCACAGACGCCAGTGAGAGTAAGTAGCTGCACGGGAACGAGGGGCCGATGGGCGCTTGGAGAACATCAGATGGCTCACGGTGAGCGCTGGCGATGAGCGCTGTGGGACGCAATTCTTGGAGGAATAATAGGCTACGATCGGCTAGATGGCCGGTCAGGCGCATAGTCGATCCGCTGTCAGAGCACTGGTAGCTGGCCATCGTCGTCCTGTCCAAGAAGACGCGGCCGGCGGTCTGCGGGCGGGGTCGGGCCCGATGTGGCGCGCAAGAGAACTTGAACTCGAACCACGATAACCCTTCCGTGACTCTTCAGCCATGGCGCCGTCTACGCCTGTGGCATCGCCGTCCGCAGATGTGCGCTCTCTCTGCCGCGATTGACGGCAGACTCCTTGGGAGTGGGAAGATCGGCTCTTCGCGAAGTGCGCCCCGGCGCGGAGATGACCGAGTGTCCTCGCTACGTCTTCTCGCGCCCGTTCGAAAATTCGTCTCGCACTCTCTTATGGCCAGCCCAATGGTTCAGTCTGCACTCCTCAGCCTTTCGCTGCTACATGGGACGGTCAGCCGGCATCGTCACCGCAAAGATGACGAACGTGCTGCTACAATCGCGGCTTACGGCTATGCCGCGGCGAATAGTCTATCCAAACCCTCCGGCACCTCTAGAGGCGATGCCTTACTCTCGCCGCCCCAATTCTGCCAGCTTTTCTTGCGCGCTCTATGTCCACAAGCGACGGCGCGCATCGGTCGTGGCCGAGTACGAGTCTAGTAAGAGAATCGTAGTCGACAAGGTTGCAATGCACTAACGTCCGTCGTCCTCGCCATCAGGCTTCAGCACAACGTTCAGCTCCCGCCCACAGTACTTCCGATTGCATCGAAGAAGACGAGAGGCAGCCCTCCCAATNCATGCTAGCGAGCGGTCTCGCAGGACTGCTCGCGACTCACGCAGATTCATGCACTCCACGACTGCCTAGACGGATGTCGGTCTTCAACATTGGTATGCGCCACTTCGCGTCGTATCTGCACCTTGACGCTGACCGAACCCCTCAGGTCGTCCTTCTTGTCGCCTCTGTACCCAGGGTACTTGTTTCCTATCGAAGCGCGAGCTCGAGGGCGACGTATTCCCTTCACGGCTATGCTTTCCGCTGTCCGACAATCCCTCATGTTCTATATGTTTATGTGCGATACCGGGCCTGTTCGTGTAACCATTGCCATCGCAATCACATCATTGGCACCGTTTCCTTGTAATCGTGTGAAGTCTCGCTGCCCTACCGTGGGCGCCTCACCGCGCGCTAGCCGTGTCTCATGAGTATCGTACGTGAGGTCGGGCTCTGGCTGGAGCCTCGCCTGCTCCCTAGTACTCGTGCACCCTCGCGGGCGTTGGTGCTATCATCGATATATCCGATCGCACAGAGTAACGCGCCACCCGTCGATCTAGAGTCGTTCAGTCTCATTCACTGACTGCATAGTGACGTGTGATAGCAGCTGTTGTTGCCCTGCGCCAATGCACACGGTGAGCTCATCTTTGCTGAGTTCCTATTTGCTTCCACCTCAATGAACCATGTTTAAGGACGAAGCCGGCGTGCTACGATCAGTGCGATAATGACGACTGCCGCTATCGGCTTGTATGAACTTGGAGCGTTTCTTGCCAAATACGTGCTGGTCAAACGTGAATGTACGATTTTCCAACGTGGCCCCATCTTATTCGCTTTGATTAACCTGCAAGAAGCAGCAGATCTCTAGACTCTTCAATTGAGACTGACTCCGCTCTCAGTTACATCTGTGCGCACGCCGCACAAGGGTCAATGATCCAACCCTGATATATGACCACTATCCGGCGACTATCTGAGATGTATTCGAGCCCCAAATAGGTTTCTAATATTTCCTTGCGACGTACACGATTGGGCCAATATTTGACTCATTTATCCCAACCCAGGCCTCAATTGATGCAATTGCCGGATCGACTGTCTTTGCATATTCCTTGACAAGGATGGCCCAATTTCTTCCATAGCATTTGTGCAAGCGCAAGGCAGCACCGTGAACAGAGTATACAGTACAGCATGCAGCCAAAATACATGTTTAAAGAGTATGTTGCATGCCTCAGAACCCCAGCCAAATCGCCCCGACGACGACCCAAGGCACGCCACCCGGCGACATGTACACCAACACGCGAAAGCAGAGGGACCAAACCTTCGCCGGCGACGTAAGCTGCACAGGCGTGTCAGTCAAAGATGATATTAAAGGCCACAGAGTATATTGCACGTACAACGGATGACAGATCGCCGGAAGAACGTTGTGACGATACAGTAGATGCTGCTGTGGCGCAAGTTCTTAATAGCTCGGGGAGACGCCAACAACTAGTTACGAAAGCAATGTCTGCATTCGACCAGCTGAGCACACTATATGAAGCGTTGAGCGGCGGATTCGGGGAAGGCGATGAGCGCAACTCACCATGCTCGCTATCCGACAAGTCCTACAACAGCATCCCGGAGCTCGGAGGGCTGAACTTACATGGCCACGGACGTGACGTATCTGCTAAGGGCTTAGCCTGCATGGACGTGAGCACGTTGTACAAGAGAGGTCGCTGAATGCACGCACCTTCTGGACCGGGTGCCGACGCGACGGGCGGCGGGCGAAGGTCAAGAGCAACTTACAAGGTGTTCGCCAGCGTCTACGTCAGCCAGCGCTTGTGCCGCGTGGTGCTGTCCCGCGCCGAAACGCGATCACATGCCTTTTACTACTGCTACTGGGGTCTTCATTATGGTCGATATACCCTTCTATAAACAATACACGCAACGCGAGTGTCTCGCGTATGTTATTCTCTACCACCCTCCGCTTAGCCGACGTCGTACACGCCTCACGAGCACCTAATGGATAAATGCGCCAGCGACCGGCCTGACGGTGACTAACTCCGACAGCATCTCCGGCGAGCCGCCAAGAAGAAGGTTCGCCCGAGTGTGATGAGGAAGAGCGGTACGTGGACGCCCGGCTTGTATTACAATTAGCCACATAGACGTATCGGTAATGTAAACCCGTGCAATGTTCCATCCATCCTTCAGGTGCCTGTGATCAGTCGGCTCCTTGCGACAAACTGATCTTTCAGGATCGTCAGCGGAAAGGGAAGGTGACACAAATGAGAGAACCACACGCTGCGGAGTTGGCGCCGGGGCGGGCCGCGGCCGCCTGCATTGAGTGCGTGTTCGTGTCTGCTGAGTGCTGTCACCGTATATTTCACTCCCCATCGCAGACTAGAGCGCTGGACTACGCCGGCTGAAACCCACATTGCTCTCAGTACAAACTGGCAGTATCGAAGTGCAAATGGATGATCGCGTCGTCTGACCATTTACGTTGTTCGAAAGTGTGAGCCTCGACTGCATAGGCATCGACCTTTCCCCCACCCCCCAGCCCATTGCAGGCATTTCCTCCTGATACATCTTGTTCTGGCATCTACTCAGTTATTTGAAGTGCACCTCGTCGAGTGTCCAAAAGATGGTGTCACGTCATGAGAGTATGCCACTGATAGGACCTACTGAGAAACGCGCCAGCATCCCATCCAGCGGCGAAGCTACACTCGGGTATAATGTAGGCAGCAGGTTCATCGATGAGTATTGAACACCACGCCGTTCGAAGATCTCCTCTCGGCCTTCTTCACTTGCCGTCTGCCAGCGAAACGCGTGCTTGACGAAGGGTGCTTGTCATCGTAGATGATCTGCGGCTCGGCTCTCAGTTCAAATGACTGGGTATACATTGTGATGAAATGCAACTTGGTACCCATAATGTGTTCTGGGTTGAAGTACCGCGGATGCGTCAACGAATGTAAGGACATGCCACACCGAGGACTGATCCAGAGGGTCGATGTATCAACTCGCATTTCAGAGAACTTGCGGCTGGCAGGGTGATCAGGAAGATTAAGGTACGGGAGGTCGTGAACTGTTTCGAACTCCCAATGCCCGTGCTCAAGCCCGCGTTTCCGAACTGGCCGAAATCGAGTGAACCCCCCAAGCATCTGTGATGCCACGTATGCGATCCGAACCGTCAAGGTGGGCATCGTAGTCATCTGACGGCGGCTCGGCAAGGGGAACAATCGGACCAGGTGCATCGTCTATACCACGCCAACTATTCAGTTCTTTCTGCTTCCCCTGTGCAGAGCGGACAAGAGGGTGGTCGGCCGGAGCGGGCAGCGCAGGTTCCAGATCGTCGGCACTATCGACGGGATTGAGGGCGCAATGCACGACTCCATCCGCATCGACGAAATCCGAGTCTGCTTTGATCTCGACGTCACTCAGGTTCGGAGACTGCGAGAACGAGCGCACGGGGCTCTGGGCTCTCGGGACTGGGAGAATGCATATTTGACGATGTACGGGACGACTTATGGGACGACCTATGGCTCGGTCGCCCTGGTTTAGATACAGAGTGCGACGAGCGCGCGGAAGAATGAGAACCTGAGCGGCCACGGGAGCCGTAGGCACGAGGGTATTGGAGATCGTCTAGTTCGAGGTCTTCGTCCAGGGTATTCGCACCACCTGTCTCATTGTGTATGAGCATTCGGAATGCTCTATAACAATTGCTCGCATGAGTACATACCTGGAGACACCGGCATATCGTCGTCCCGGGTGGCCGAGCTCAAGGCGGGTGAGGGCGCTGTGTCGTGGATGTCAGATGTCAGATGTTAACTGTCAGAATCCTGTTTGACGGAGATGCATATCGACGTACCCCGCTCTCCGGCACAGTTCCAATCTTTGGTGCCACCACCTGAGCCCTGCAATCCGGGTTCGTGGTCGTCGAGAGGCTCCTCCTGTGGGGTACAGCCTGGATGAAGATGTCAATGCCGGGTGGACAAGAGAGAGAGATGCTCTACGCACTACGGTGTCGCGAGCGTTTGGAAGTGCCCGGCTCCCAGTCGGCGAGCACAGGGGCCTCCGGGTCGTGAGTCTGCCGTCCGACGCGTCCGTGGTGCGCGCGCCGGCCGCGACCTCCAATCAATGCTCGTACAGGACATGAGGGTCGAGACATCGCTTCGTTTGTTTCAAAGACAGACGATCTGCGGGAACAGAGGTCGACACTCTGCCCTGCACCTGACATCGTACGCGCAGGCGGAAGGGCTATGCGTGAGAGCCTCTCGTGGAGGTTGCCAACGTGCAGCGTTGTTTTGAGCTCAACGCGAACGCCGGCGTCTTGCACGTGCAGCCCAAAACTATTGGCAGGCGGTACTGATGCAATATATCTACAGCTACTATATCGGTCTAATATCTCCGAGATATATTACCTAGCGTGGAAATACTTAGGCCAATGTTTTTCGGCCGTGGTGCGGCGGTGACGTACTGATGATGATGAACGTGAAATACACAGCGGCATACTCATGCAAAAAATAGGCTACACGTAGGTTGAGACAAGCGTAGGGAATCGAGCGGATTGCGACGATCATATGATGATCAGTATGACTATCTAGACTCGCCGTGTGCATTGCCATGTTCTGGCACCACACCATCACTCCTCGGGGCGAGCAAGGATATGCTTTTGCCAGCTCTTTCGACTCGCCATTCGATCCGCCATCCACTCCGGATCGCGCGCAATGACGACCTGCACGGTGTATGAGCTCCATTGCTGCGCAAGATAGATGCAGCTCACCATAGCAGGTACCTCTTGCCGATCATTGAACTCTTCAGGGCCCATGATAACTCCACCAAGGTCGACGTACTCATGGCGGCCCACATGCCAACTTGATAACCGGGATCAGGGCAAAATTCTGGGATGCCACTGAAAAGACGAACCTGTTCTGCACTGACTTCGTCATTTTGAATTTATATCCCTTTGATATAAATATCTCCTTCTCCCCTGGTACAGGAAACGGCCACGAGACTGGCGCGACGTTTGAGCCGTTCTGGGTGATGACATCGTCCTTGGAAACAGAATCGTCTTGAAGAGTGGTACCGCTGTTCGTAGCTGTATCGTGCTTAACACGCGGGCGCTTCCGACCTGTTTCTCGAGCTTCGCTGAGGTAAAGAGTCAGACACGAGGCGTGTCGTATACCGGAAGGATCTCTGACTTACACATCGCGCCCGCGAGTCCCGTTTCTGCGCAGCGACTTATCCGCCTTGAGCTCAGTGGCGGAGCTTCGAGACTCAACAGTCGCCTGACGCTTCTGCGAGCGGTGTACCGACTTGAGCGGCTGCTGAGTGCCATCGTCTCGAGCTTGGGCAAGTGGCTGCATAAGATCCAGTGCAGGCTGTGCATCTTCCCCGGGCACTTCCCAATCCACATCCAATGTGGATCCAGGCACCGCGGCCGAAGAGACTTGCAAGCTGAGCTCTTGCACGGCCTTAAAACGGCATAAGTTGACTAGATATTGAGACTCAACGACGAAGGGGCGTGCTCACATCTTGGTTGGGGCTTGGACTACGCGACGCGCGTGTAACCGTCTGACCAGGCTCAGCCTGGTATTGTTGCGCGTCTTGCCGATCGAGACATGTCGCGTCAGAAGATAACGGCGGGTGGATACCGGACGAGACGGTCTTCGGCCTCGGAGCTAGCCGGAAAGTAAAGGGCGCATGCGAATCGATACCACAATGCTGTTGTAGTTCCTCAGCAAGAGGAAATAGCGTCCCCGGCTGTCTCAGCCGGTCTTTATCAAAACAGAGGTAACTGTAGCCATCAATGTCGTAGAAGTCGGGAGCATTTCGCACTAGGTCGTCCCAAGGAAGATCATGAGGAAGTCGGAGGTCGCCCGAATGGCCTGCGCATTGAGTCAGTTCGTTACTTGAGGATTCAGATCGATCAGCATACCCCATACGGCTTGATAGTAGTTGATGACAACTTCTTCCAGCTTATTTGGGTTGATGTTCATTAAATCTACATCAGGAAAAACCGGGATGCCCTGACTATTGCGAGGGATGGATAGATGGTCGTGGTCCGGGGAGACCGAACGAGGAGATTGATCTCGGATCATATTGAGTTTATGAAGCGGCGCGGGACAGAAGGGACGCACAAGGGATGGCAAGCTCTGAATACTCGCGCCAGGCATTCGCAAGCGTCGTTAGCGCGCTCGCCTCATCATCGCGTTCACCAAACTTCGGACCATCGTCTGCCACGCGACCGTCACAGCTATGAAGAGCGAGTCAGAACGCCGAGCTGAAGGAAGGTACACAAACAACGCACAGCGCAGGTTGTATCTCGTTCGTGTCAAGGTCCCTGAAGCTGAAGAAGGTGATCGCTGCCATCCCACCAAATAGCTCGTCCCGACAGAGTACGTCCAATAGAGTCTTGAAGTTGTTAATGAGCTTTCGGCGGTTTCTACAAGAAGATCACTAGAGTGTACAGGGGAAGAAAGAGGGGCACATACTGATCCACGTCCTTGGCGATCTTCTCGGCCTCTTTCTCATACGTATCGTGGACAGGCTTATCGAGCGCCTTGTACTGCTTTTTCAGGCGAGAGCTCTGGGCTTTGGCGTCATCGTCGTCATCAGCGGATTCTTGCTTGACGTCTTGTTCGAACAGCTGGAGACCGGTAGGGTGAGGGACGAGGTGCTTCAGAATGGCCTTTCCAAGTGGACTCTCCCGAACTCGCACCCCATGGTAGTAGTTCCTGAAGCGGCGGTCCACCACCTGGACAAACAAAGATGAGATGCATAGCTCATTGAACGTAGTGGGTAACACGCACCGACTTAAGCTTCTTGTCCTGGTCCGGAACGCCAGTCGACGCGAATAACGGGTCGTCGCTGAGGATAGCGCTCCTCCTCTCCGCCACCCACTTGCTGACGGCGGCGAAGCCAGAAAACTCGGGGTCGTTCTGGCGTATGATGGGCAGGAATTCGTTGTGAAGAATAGAGGCTATAGCTTCAGCTTGGTCAACATTGAGAACGCGATCTTTGCCGGACATGACGAAGAGGGAGGAAGAGTAGGATGTCGAAGTGGCAGTAGGGCAGGCCGGTTGGGTCGGTACACCACGCGCCATATATATGCACGACAGATTCGGACGTGTGGCACGTGCAGTAGAAAGACAGCGATGGCCGCGTGCCCATCAGAGTAAACCCTGGCAAACATGGCAGAAGAAAGCTAGCGTTTCGGGAAAGCCTTCCTGACCTTACGCAGCATCACGAGTCCAGTGCCGGCCAAGAAGGAATGGGATACGTGCACCCTTCTCCAG